TATGATATCCCTAGTAAAAAAAGAAAGCCAACTATCTTACGTATGAAGACAGGGAGACTCAATAGCCTCAGTCTGAGTTTGCCTCATCGAAGAAAAATGAACTGTCAGAGCCCCGTGTATGGAAAATGAAGTATTTTAACGCTGATGGCATTCTCACATCGTAAGTGAGTATGTCCGAGAGTTATTATTTTGGTAGTACAGAAAAAAAGATGCTAATGAAATTTGCCTAACGCATAGCATATCTTAAAGACAAAAAAATTTAAGGCCTTAAAGAAACAGGCACTTCAAATGCAGGTATAGTAGCTGAAGACCTTGTAAGTCTTCACTTGTAACATTCTTTTACAAACCTAAATAAACATGTAGTCAAAAAGTTTTCAGCCAAGCAATTCCTTCAGAAAACAACAGTGCTGAAGACAAAAACATATGGCACAGTTGAAGTGTGGCAGCAGGAAAACAAACCCAAATCAGTTCCTAAATCATATAGGTTCTAGGCCAATATCACGTACACGCAATGTGATTTACAGCTGCCCTCTGCATTGTAAAAAAACGTACTTCAATCACAGCGCTAGCCTGGAGCTCTGGGTGTGTAACGACACGTGGATCCAGCACAGACTAGTGCACATTGCGTAGAGGGAGAACTGGGGGGGAGGAGAAAACTCAGCATAATGTTCAGTGAAAAAAATACTCAACCTACTTCATGCTGACTTGGATTCAAAGGCAAGGCTAACTTGCTGTATAAAGGTGAGAAAATGAACAGGTTACATAGGAGCTTTCAGGCAGAATGTGCAGAAAAGCACTGAAAGCATTACTCCAATTCTACTTTCCTTCTGAATTGTTTTCCATTTTCTTTGATCCGTAAGAGGACCACATGCAGGATGCCTTGTATATTTTCCATTCTGACATACTTTGGCATGAACAGAGTGTTTAAACCAAATGTTTAAACCTCCAACGCTAAGTGAACCAATGCTTCAAATGCCATTTGTTCCACTGATGGAAGAGAGTGAGATCATATTCACAGAGCAACTTCCGTGACACAAATCCTTAGAATGAAATAATCCACAACTGGAAACAAACAGCAGGTGTATATAATCAGGTTTCTGGAAAAGCAGCAGCTCTGAGTGTAAAGAACATTTTGCACATCTAAAGAGCGTCCTACCGGGACTTATCAAAAACTTTCAGAAATATTCAAACGTTCTATCTACAAAACGCTCCTATCAGAAGAGTAATTATCCCTTTCTGCAACAGGAGAAGTTGCTTTGATTTAATGCGTTACTGCTCGCTAGCTCACCATCAGTAACTATCCACAAACCCTCGTTTTCTTCTTGGCAAACACAGGTTAACATACGACCTAAAATTTATCAAATCCTTGGATTAGAATTTGGATTATGCTTTTGTTAGGAGCTAAGAAGGAAGTAAGTTGTTACGTATAAAATGAATAAATAAACTCATCTACTGTTTTGAAATTCTTTGAAGCTCTGGGTAAAAACCAGATTTATCGTGTCACGCATTACACACGTCCTCCTGCCTCTTTAGCAAGACCTAAATTTTGTCCTTTGTCCAACTGCAGAGCAGTGATTTTTTGCTTTAATGTAGTATGAAGTCCATACATGTCCCTGCATACATGGTCTTTCCATGGCAAGACTGTGATGCAACTTGTGGAAAAAATGTGAGGTCAAGGCTCTCTATGAAGTATCATGTGGGAAAAAGAGATTCCCTACTGCACTTGAAAAGCAACTGAAAGTCTGGAAAGGTCAATTATTTGCAAAAGCTTTATTTTGGAATCTGGCTATTCAAGTGGAGTTCTCAAAGCGCAAACAGTAATGTTGGGCAGACAATTGTTACAAAAAATCACAATTAGTAATCAAAGTTCCTACACCTAAGATACTGATTTAACCACTACTCTGATTCCAACAGAAACAAAGCAATCAAGCTTTTAGCAAAGATGTCATACTAACATTAAGTTCAGCAGTGTTTGCTCAAGGACATAGACATAGTTTTAAATTCAAGAGGGAATAGAAGTCTTCAGGAATGAAATATGCATATCCTGCTACAAGTGTCTCTTAACAATTACAAAGAAGCCATAGAATATTAACTATTTTAATGGGTTCTAGTGACTTGTTAGAAACACATGCAGAAATGCATCTGGATATCGTTGAAATTAGGTTGAAAATATATTCTGGAGTTCAGGTTAAGTTTATACTAGAATAGTTGCACGTCACTCTGATGAACCACTTATCATTCTGGCATTAGCTCCATGCAGCTATTATTATTATAATTAATGGAAAACCAGTTCTGCTTGCAAATATGCCCACTTGACTGTGTAAGGACTGAGAGACATGACTAAACTCTCTGTATGCAGATGTGCAAGCACACTTCAAAGCAGGATGCTACAGTACCTAGTTTGACTAGTAACAAATAAAAAACTGCTATCTTTTTACCAATAACTTACAAAACAGATGTTCTTCCTCTATTGAAAACCATTAGTCAAGGCATTATTTTCAGAGCTGTCCATGTTTTGATAATATCAATGATGCTGACTCACGAAGAGTAATAACAAAAGGAGCAATATTTTTAAGTGCTATAAATATGCCAAGATAAAAATGGAAATGTTAAACTTTGTACGAATTTCTGGCTCACATTAATAGATGCAAAAATATGTCATTATAATACCCGATTAACTCACAGAGTGTGGGCTGCACAGGAAAAGCAGTCATACTATCTATCTTCAGTAATGTTGTCATCTAATATCTCCACCTACAACGGAGTATTGCTAGGAAATGAACACATCTGAATTTTGCATTTATATGTGGAATATCACTATGGCCTTAAACCGATGTCTAAAGAAGTTAAAAGGACACCTTCTCCTGCGTGTACATCAAGCACAGAATGAAAAATGTATCGAAGAACAAACTTTTTTATCAAGACACAGCTAGGAACCTGCCACGACCAACACGATTGTGAGTCAGTGCCAAAGCAATACATTCTGATCAGCAGCAGCTTTAACTGCTGTTGCTAGAAGTTGTGATAACCTTTATCCACAGCTGAAAAAAAGAAAACGGGCTATCTTCTAACAAAACATGACAAAGATGCTTCTAGGCAAACAAGGTAGGGACTTTATAGACTGATTCAGAGAGTCACAGCTATTAAGGGATCCATGGAAGGAAGCACGGAGACAACTGCCCGAGAAGCAGGCAGGCATTGCTCGCAGCACAGTCAGAACAAGCTTTCAGCAACTACCTCTTGCTTTGACCAGTGACTTGAAAACAGTCAATAAAAATAATCCGGTTGTGTTTCTCTCTCTGCCCATCAATTTCAAGGAGGCTTTTGGGACTAGTGAAAGTAGATGGAAGAAAAGTCTGGGTTCCTTATGCTGCATGGAGCTAATGCCCAAATGATAACTGATTTGCTGGTGAAAAGTTGTAACAAGAAAATGAAAGTGTGAGCAACAAAACAGCTGAGATTCAACACTTCTTTCCTCCTCCCCCCCAGCCCTCGCCCCACCCCGATGGAGAATGCTTTCAAAGCCTGAAACGCAATAGCAGCAATAGTTTATTTTGACTGGACAATTAGGATGTATTTTCAGGGCAGTGTGAAGGGAATTAAGCAGATAACTTTCATTAACAGCAACATCAGGGTCCCCATTCACAGCTGGAAACAAAGAACAGACTTTCTTTCCATATTTATCAGTCTGTACTTTATTAAAATGGACACACTACAAAAAGCCTGTAAACATATTTAAGAAGCAAGGGAAATACTTCAAAGGAGGATTGAGAAATATGAGAGAATTATCAGAAAAGCTTAGGTTGGGATTTTCAAATTCACATTCAGTAGGACTTGAGCATTTTGTCCTCTTAGGTTCTTCTGAAAATCTAAGCAGTAGCTAGTAGATGTCTTCTGATATTTATCCAATTTAACTGAAATCCAAGAAAGCTCTTCTTACAAAATTAGACTCTGCTAAACTAAAGCAGCTTCAGGGAGCTAAAGTGTATAATAAGCTATGCACTTCTGAATCTGCAGAGACTGTTTTACATGAACTTCTACTGTGCGCTGCCCTAAGCTGTGACACGGCAGAGCATGCAGTCATCCTGCCTGAGGCTGGCAACCTCAAAATTTCTTCAGCCACTGCAGCTGAAGCAATTCAAATGTTTTACTAAATCACACCTTGAATCCTCCAAACCTGCCATTTCAGTAGGATGGGGTTTTCTTTCCCTCAATGACGTTTCCCATGTATGAACAGTAAGTAGTTTGATTTTGTAACTCAAACGTTGTTGTCTTGAAAGGAAAGCATGGAATAACAGCATTATCACGTGTTCATACCATAAAAAAGGTAACTTACATTGTAGACAAGGAGACTAATGTGCTGAAGGCTCCAGGGGTAATAGTGCTGATGTGATTGTCATACAGAGAAAGAAGCCTCACTGAGCTCAGTCCAGCAAAGGTGTCATTGTTTATACAGCTGATAGAGTTGCTCCTCAGCATCCTGCAAGGATTAAAACAGGAAATTAGGAACTACTGGAAGGGGGTGTAATTTCAGGATAGGAGGTCCTTTATCTAGGGCATCAACAGACGCTTTGGCAAGCGCTGCGCTCTATTTTTATTGTTTGCTGAAGTACGACACAGCTATAGGAGGGCTAGATTCATGTAAACATTGACTCCTGAACTTAAAATGCATTTCTTCCACACAGCATTAGAGGCTGATGGGAGCTCCACGTCTGCAAGTAGTATGTGATTAAAATTATGACTAGTGGCAAACTTGAAATAAAAACTAAAGTCTTAATTTAGCAAGTATCTGAGAGTAAGTGAAAATGTATTTCAGAGATCAATTGAGAAAGACTGCCAGAAATGTGTGACAATAACAATACTATCTGCAATACTTCTACTGCTGTCAGGGATGTTTTTTGTAATTCACACTGCAAAAGTAAAAGTATGGAAGGAAACAGCATCCTCAGAAGGAATCAAGGAATAGCTTAGGAAAGATTTCCAGACCTAACACAAGCTCTGAAATGTCAGAATCATTAACTGACAAGACAGAAAGTAGTAACCATCCTATAAAATGCTCTTTGCTCAGTGCTTGTACCAGATGAATCAGTGCTGTGCTTTGGAAGATACATCTCTCTGAGTTGTTATGGTAACAATGAACTCGATAAAGCCTAATTAATCTGAAAGACTGTAGTGTCTTGCTTCACTCCATAGCGAAACAGGCTCCTGTGTATTTGTTACACTGCATGCCAATCAACACCTGGGTCTGTAAACATCACTACACAGTGGCGATATTCCTACTTAGGTGAAAAATTATCCAGTAATTAAAGCATACTACCAAAAATCCACAAAATATATATAGCTCATGCTGCTGTTCCAGTGAATTGATCCCCCAAATTGAGAAGGGTTAATTCCTTGGTATCAAATTTAATTCGTTGGTATCAGATTCATGCAGTGAACAATGAAAATTCAGACTCCCTTAGAAGTCTGCATTTAAACCTTAGGTTGGTATCCGCAGGTTGGGCGTTTAGATGCTACATCAATAGATACTTGAAAAACACCAAACGAGATTAGATATGGCTGGGAAGAAATTCACAGGGTAATCACACACACTCAGTGTTTGAGACCTGGACATTACATTGCTTTTGCACTTCTGTTCTCTATGTGCAGTTACCATCACAGCCACTATGGTCTCAATAGTTTTGGTACGGCAACTGGTGTGCAACTATGTCAGAAAAGAGTCACGGGGCACAGAGACACACACCTTACACGTGGAGTACTAAGCTGCCTGAAAGCCAGGCCAAGACCTCAAGCTCTAAACTGAGTGGGGTGGCAAATAAGAGAAGTAAGGCTCTTAGCAGCTTAGCAGCAGTAGGAAACGTTTTCTCAATTCTGTGTGTAAAGTATGAGGCAGTATTACTGCAAGAAGGGATGACTGAATTTGGACGCCAATACATCTTGCACAGTGATTTATTACCTTTCGGGAAACATGCAGTCTTTTAAAAACTGGACCGTGACCCTGTCCAGGGTGGCTTCTTTGTAAAAGATCACAATTTTAATCCTCAAATAAAGTCAGTTAATGCATAGAAATATATGTCCCTCAAGCCGAAAACGTTGGTTTCATATCATGGCTCACCATGCACTGTGTGCCCTTCCTGAAGGAAAACCTATCCTTGCGGATCCTCGTGTCATGCTGTGTGTATTTAGACTGCTTTATCAGCTAGGGGGAAACGTAGGTCAGGCCAGCAGGGTAGCTTGAATGTTAAGCATCTTTTTATTAAAAAATGCTGAATTTTGTTTAGGAGCACTGCCACAGACTGCTTTACAGTATAAAAACTAATTTAGTATCTATGGACAGTATTTTCAACTCCGTTAGTAAAGCGCATACCTTAAATTAAAGAACAGATGGCTGTAATCACAGAAAAATAATGTCAAAGGAACAGCAAAAGACAAGTTCCCTATTTGTCATTACAGGCCAAAGTCCTTGAAGTGAAAATTTGATTTCTTTTTACATTTGAGTAAGGACTGAAGGAATTCTGCCACGATACTTTGCAACATAAGAAGTATTTGCTGCTAATGAACAAATTGCAGATTTTAAATTGCATTTTCATTCCTAGAGCTTATTTACTGACAGCATCCACCTAGTCAAGTGCTTTCTTCCTGCAGCAGGGAAGACTATGCAAAAGAGGTATTTTTCACGTACAGATCATACACATTGTCTGGCATGAGTCTTTGCTATCACCAGAAGCCTAGTCCCTCACTCCTTCTCAGGATGGCGGATGGGGTGGATTGACACCATCTGGAAATTTTGTCTGTGATTCTTCTTCCAATATAACTTCAAACATGAAAATAAATTAGTTGGGTACTATGAGTTCATGTATAAGTATTAGTTCTTAGAAATAAATTTTGAAGTAATTAATTACAAAAGTAATACCGAACTAACTTCTTACGCATTTGGGCTCTATGACTCCTTCACACTCTACCCAACCACAACCAGATTAATACTATATCCACACATAATTTTTATGGCACTTAGTGTGGCCAAGAAAGAGCGTGCTGTGGCTAGTCTAAAGCCGTGCCTGTGCTTGTGGGCTGCTACAGCTGGTGCAGAGTGAGTGGCCAGCTACTTTCCACCAGCAGGACCTCTAACAGTTTGGTTATGCCTGCCCTGAAGTTGCTTAGCTCCACCTGTTTTGGTGGCAGCAATAATTTGAGTCTTTCTTCTCTCCCTACCTACTGATTTCATATAGTTTGTAGGGTATTAAAAATCTCTCGGGTTCCTAGCCTACTCTAAGGTTTAGTTTAAGCAGACCAGCAATTGCAATTTGGGTGGAGGCAGAGTGGGAGGATGGACTAATAGATAGCGAACATGTTCCTACATGCCTTCTTTCCATAGGAAATAACAAAATAATAGAAGTATTAAATGATTAAAAGTGCACAAATTTCACCCATGACAGGTTCACAATCATGTTACTCCTGATATTCTTGAAAATCTGTCTTTTCACAGAAGTAGCAGATAAATCTCAAACCTACTCAGGACTAGAAATATATTGAAGACTTCGTAACAGTAATACAAGACCCTGCCTTAGAGCTTGTTTTCTAGTAACCGGTATTTTAGCAGGCATTGCTGAACTCGAGCACTCCCACTCAATTTACAGAGGAACGGAGAAAGACAGGTCTTTGCACTTACAGTGTCTTTAGCCCTGTGAGGCCTCTAAACATTCGTCCATGCACTGACTCCAGTTGATTCTCTGTCAGAATCAGCTCCTGCACTCCTGAAGCTCCATCAAATGTGCCTTCTCGGATCTCCTTGATCTTATTGTTGCTTAGATTTCTGGAAGGACACAACCAGTCACAATAAGAAAACTATTAGCATTTTATTCCAAACATACGTCATCACACTGGAAGGAGGAAGATAGGAAGAGTACGTGCCTTTTAGTGGTTATCTAGACAGACATTCATTCAGCAAAGAAAGCATAGAGAAGTTCAAAAGTATACCTACTGTACTTACAAATAGCTCCCCTCCACTCATCAAAACCACAATTATATCAGATATATCAAGCATTTAAACTAATGGAATTACCAGCTCTTACATTTCCTGTCATTCTTGCTTATAAAGGTCTCAGAGAGACAGTAAGTGGGGGTTTCTAACATCTGATTTATGTCCATGAAATTATGGACCACGCTTGGGATCGGGTGCTCATTGGGCAAGAATCAGTTCATGTTACTACCATTGAAAAAGGTACCACACATTGAAACATGGACCACTTTTATTTAGTGTACCAGGACTTTTACTCTTTTTAAACTCAACACTGAAGTAACATACAAAAGCGTGCGACTGCATGTATCTGATACAAGTTTTAATATGTGTACTCATGAACTCCCAGGCACTTAAATTTAACACCACCACTCAAAATGAAATGAATATCCCTTAATTCTTAATTCACAGCTACTGCAACATACAGTATTATTTTCCTAAATATTTACTCTGCCTATACAGACTCAAGATGTTTGCTTATAGATCAACATTGGAAAACTTCAATCTACACAGTCAAATGAAGTTCTGATGAAATGCAAAATTAATCTCTTGAATATTTCATATTTGTGGAAAACTCCATGAATAGAAAACTTCTGGATGATAAAACGCCATTAGAAATGCGTAAGAATAAATGCCATTTAATTATTTAAAATGTTTTCTATAAAAGGCCTGAAGCACCTTAAAACCTTGAGCATCAAGGTTTGATGCCTCCTATGATGCCCTGTATAAATTATGATGAATAATCCTATTCATTTAGGATTATGGCAGGAAACACTATTCTTTGTTTTACTGTCTACAACAAAAAAGAGAAAGTAAAAGATATGCTCTTGCTCCCAAGAAGATGCCAAATTCCAACACTATTACTCATATTGAAGAGCACGTTATTCCAGAACTGATCCCAGTACACAAACAGCATGAGTAATAGTTTCAAAATCCCATTCCAGGTGATACAAAACAAATGACAAGGTATCAGATTAACACCTGGGCTACTCTGCTCAGACGAACAGGCAATCTTGTTGGGATAAAAGCTGACAGAAGACATGGTAACAGGACAGTTTGGCCTCAGACAGAAATAATGTGGGTCTTGCTCTTTGCAGAAGTCATTACTTAATGAAAAAAAAAAAGTTGAGTCTTGGAGATATGTTTCATGTGGGAAACTTGAGTACGCTGGTTTATGTCTGCTGAGCAACTGTCAGATAGCGGGCCCTACAGCATGTGGCCCATCACCTCTTGTGCATTGTGTGATCAGAAGGAATAGGAGTATGCCAGCAATCAGCCAAAAATAACATAAAAACATATAGAAATACTTACATGCAGATTTTGCTTTCCAGAAGTTTAGTACTTTGTGCTAACGCACGAAGAGTTTATGTTCAGTGTCAAAGCAAGTCAAGGAAGGGTATTCTGACATATGCATTTAATTTAGGGGCTCAGCTATTTCTCTAGTGGAAATGTTTATAGCTCAGCATCTCTTTTGAATGTTGGCATAAATAATTGCTCCCAATGATCCCTTTCCTGCTAAAGATCATGCCATGATGCATATTTGCACAAAAATGAATGAATGAAAAAGTAATTGTTTGTAGTGGGAAGGGAGGGTGAGTTACTATAATGCACAAAGACTCCGACTTTCAATTCACAGACTGCAAACAGACTTGTAGTTACAAAGTTTTATTAGTTTTTACCATCCGAAAGATAATTAGTCACATATATTTTAAAAACGGGTGCAATTTTAATGGATTATTAGTTACTCAAGGCAAAAAAGAGCAAATATTGGAGAAACAGGCTGGCAATAATTTGCAAAAGAATTAGCAACTTTATACAGTCCAAAGCATCTGAATTTTAATTGCTGCCAAAGACCTTCTGTAGATAGGTAACTTCACTCGTTTTAGTTAGTAACGCCTGATCACTTCAACAACACAAAATTACCCAAAAATATGCTTCCAGTTTCAGAGGCCGGCAATTATATCCACACCTTTCTCACGCAAGAGATTGAAAAGCCAAAATTAAATGCTACGGTGAAATCAAAGTTGCAAGGCAGAGAAAGGACAAGCTTTACAATAATAAATAGGTAAAGGCGATGCTGCCCTGCAATCCCGCTCAGAGTATTGTCAAAGCAAATGTTCTGCCAATCTGGATTTCTTTATTTGTGTTCATGAATTAAAGCTTCCCATATCAGAATGCAACCAAAAAAAAATGGTAGATGACAGCACTTATTCACTCCAAAAAAGAAGAAGCATCCTCCTGAAAGTCTGACCTACTAGAATAATAAACATGAGAAATTACATACTTTCCAGTCTAGAATTACCAACAAAAAAGATCAGCTGATACAGACCTTGAAAAATGAAAGCAGTGAAACTTTTGCCTGCTCTGCAACTCAGAGAGCTCTACTCCATCCTTCCCAGCACTAAAAGAATCTTTCATATATGATCACAGCACGTGACAAGGAATTTTTTTTTTTAATCAGAAGAAAACTTCTGACAGACTTGACAGCAAGCTCCCACTGTAGAAAAGACCCATCCTCTTGCAACACTAAGCTTCTGTGAGGAATTGTTCTTGAAATACTGGAAAAGAAAATGAGACTTGAGTATTTCCCAGATACCTATGCCCTCTGGCAGGACCCAGATGGGAACCTGTAGTCAACCTGGTCACTCAGGAAAAGGCTATTGTTCCCGTAAGGACTCCCTGATTTACCTTGGTGATAAAGTTTAATCCTATATCCAGCCTTTTATTCTGGGCAAGAGGTCAGAAGAAATTTTCAGAAAGCCTGGGTTTACTTTATGTGGGGCTGTGAATAGGAAATGAACAGATCTAAGAAGCTATCAAGGTGACATTGTTCACACAGCTCACTTCTCAGTCAGATTTTATTTACGTTATGGCTAAAGTTTATAATAATATTATTTCTGCTGATCTTATAACCAACACAGAACAAGCTGGATTCTATTCAGACTTAACAGAACCATTCATCCTGCTGTACCTGCTGGGTCAATTTTAACATTCCAGCACGCTATTCATTGCCGCATTACCGACACACCTTCCCACAAGAGCTACCACCAGAGCACAGTCCAACTGCAAAGGCTCTGCTCGGTCTCACCTTGAACCTTGTACTTTTATCATACAAACAGCCTGTTCTGAGTGGGGGTTTCCCTGGAATGCTTCTGTCTGTTGGTGATGTGTTTGGAATTTTTAAGTATATGTTAGGAGGAAAATCCCAGTGCTGTTGGCATTCTTCTGGAGGAAAGATGTTTGCTGAGAAGGTTTTACAGCTTTTGCCAATAGTCTGCTGGCTTTTATAGAGTGAGTTCTTCTCAGAAGCAGGATGGCACTGGAAGTCTTAAATACGACAGGCAGTGAAGTACCCCCAGTGACATTTCTACATTCATTCAGCAAAGCAGACTGATGGACTCATTGGGAAAAAAGGGAGGCACGTGATGTGCCCAAATGCCATGTACCACAACACTCTCTACAATTTCATTTCCAGAAAATAAAGTCTGCTTCTGTGTAACAAGTGACAGATGACTGCAACCTCAATTGCCATGGCAAAATCTATGCTTAAGGGAAAGAACAGGTACCAGCTGTTTCCAAGGACACAAACTGCTTTTACCTCCCCAAGAAACTTGAGATTCTGCTTTTTAAACTGACTTCTAGTCTGCAAACTTTATCATGATTCAATTTTATTTTCCATGTAAAGTGTGTTAAATCCTGGGCTGACACTCCATACAATTCAATGCAGGAGAAATATTTACAGACAAATTCAGCCTCCAAAGTCGGTTATATACTAGAGGTGGGGTTGGCAGTACCAGCTATTGCCAAGACAGCCTGACGCTCCTATTATAAGGCCATATCTTATGTTCACCTTGTAACTTTGGCAAGATTTAACAGAATGAACTGTCAGATGTCCCTTTCAGGTTTTGAGGGAAATATTTTTTATTGTTCTTGTTCTCTGAGAAAAGAGGTCAGCCCCCTTTCTCCCCAGCAGTGCATGAAGTATGCCAGTTCACCTTCTTATTTTGGATGTGAGCTCATTGCCATTTTTTTCTCTGGATAAAGAGCTGCCGGAACCTCACCAGAATGGCCAGTCCCACTGATTTCCTGCGGGCACCGGGGAGCGAGCAGGCGCTGGAGCTGACATCTAGGAGCTGCAGCTTCTCCCTATGCGCCAACATCCCATTTCAGCAAGTAAGTTATCTCCTTGCTCCCACTGAGTTAGGCACCCAGCGGGGTTTGGAGCTTGAACCTGTCTGCCATGGCCAGAAGACCCCTCCAGGCTCCCACTGCCATGGGAGTCCCCAAGCACTGGAGGGTTTTTTCACTGATTAACAACTTCAGATAGTCCCAGTGTTTGCTTTGTGCTGAATTTGGTAGTTGCTGTGAGCAAAGGACTACTCCCTTCCACAAAAGTCAAAACCCTGCCGCTGTGAATGGTAGTGTTGCCCCTCACCGCTGCCTGACGCGCGATGCCGCTGCGTTGTGTGGGAAGATCTCTCACTGACAGCAGACTCCTCTGTGAAAGGCAGAAGCTTCCAGCTCTCAGGGCTGGAGGGCAGTGGGTCCTGGAGCCTTTCTCTCTCACAGGGATAGGATATCGCAAAAAACCCAAGCCATGGAGCTGCTCCCACTCTTACGGAGCTCAGAAACGCACCCTTCATTTTCTCCTGCACTTCAAAGCAGATTCAAATTACTCTTTTCTAACCACCCTGCAAAATGCTACCACCACAGTTCTTGGAGCCTGAAAGTCACTGCAGTGTGACTTCAGCTTTCAGAGACAAGTCGTACCTTTACACTTGCAAGATCAGGTGAGGTAATACGGCAAAAATGCAACGAAAGCAACACAGAGTTCAGGGCATTTTGCAAAACCCACTGGAGAACTCAGTAAATTATTCTGGACCAGGTTAGATCTGTCTGCAAGAATCTACACCAACCATTTTATTCTACTGTAAAAAGCATTAAACATAAAGATAGATTACAGTTTAGGTTATGTAAATAGCATTAGGTATATGGATTTTACAGCTAATTATTGCAGTTGATTTAAAAAAAAAAAAAAAAAGCCATATGCAGACATGTTAACCTTTTAAAAACCAGCAAGGTAATCTTAGCAATTTAATTCCTAAATAAAATGTGGCATAACTTTGCATTATGGATCTGTGACCTTTAAATTTCTATATCAAGAATTGAATTTTCTTTTGCATTAAAATGTATTAAATCCTGGGCTGACACATCATACAATAAGATTCAGTGTAGGAGGAATATTTACAAATTACACCCCAAAAGCTAATTATATATTATAGGTGGGGTTGGCAGCACCACCTACTGCAAAGGTGGTCTGACACAATTTTTTTTAATGTTTACTTTATAACATTGGCAAGATTTAACAGAATGAACTGTCAGATGTCTTTTCATTTTTAGAGGTAGATACTTTTTAGTTCTATTTTTCTTTTTTTTAAACAAAAGAAGGAAGTTCACCTAAAAACTCTAATAATCCTTTTGTGAAAGGTCCAAAGCATGCAAATAAATTCTGACGTCGAATTTGTAATTGGTAACTACCATGAAGGTGTTTTATTCAAAAGATACACCTTCCTTGTGAAAAATCTGTTAGGATTTGGCTGAATACTTAGATTTAAACAAAGAGATTTAAGATTCCTGCTTCTGCTGCAATCTAAGGAGACTGCAACACATGTTTTTTGGAAAATTTGACTTTTAGGAGCTAATTTTCCAGGGGTTTTTTCACTTCAGATTCTTCTTCAGATGACATCTTCCGATGTCTCTCAAGACAGCGCAGGACACAGAGCTACAGACTGTGCGAAGTTTGGGACTGGGCACATTTCTCTATCCAAGTATGTACCAGTCCCAGGCAGTATTAAGACGTAATGTCCTTGGCCGGACCCCAGAGAGACCTGTGAAGGCTGTGAAAACAGCTCAAGGCAATGCGGTGGAGTAACTGTGCATGAGGGCTAGGAAGGGAGCCTGAGAGAGAAGAGTAGGAGTTTTGTCAGTGGCTTGAAGAGAGGTAGAGAGAAGAGGGACAGGACACCGCCCTTACGCTGAGGCAGAACACGGCGAGAACAGAAACCACAATGAATCAGGAGATGAGGAACCTAGTAAGGGATTGGGACAAGAGTGCAACTGAAAATTATGTGAATATATAATCAAAGACTATTTTCACATATACACACTGGAGCAACCCTAATATGTCAATGCCAAATCTATGAGTACTTCCCTTTGGAATCTTATTAGAAAACCCAACAGACTGATACGCAACAGCACACACGCAGGTGCAGACAACTGAGAGCGCTCGAGCGACGAAAGAACAAACGAGAGCGTACATCTACAACGCAAGTAAAATCTGAATCCTCCTTAAGGTCCAAATTACAGCCTACCTTAGAGTGTTCATGTTATAAACCAAAGCTACACTTAAGCATAATGTAAGATGAAGAGGCACCAAGATGAAACATCCATGAAGAGGAAGGAAGAGCTAATTCCTCTATCTCTGGAATTATGCTGGAGCTTTACTAACCACAGTGGAACCAAGGTATTCTTAAAGCTGTTTCTTCACAAATTTCCTTGACATGGATCTGTCACTAGTCTTAAACTGAAGTGAAGGACAATCAGAAGGCAATCATTCAAATGTCCATTTGATACCCAGATTCCAGACATTCAGATTCATCTCAGAAGAATGAGAATTACAGAGATTAAATAAAGGGGGGAAAAAAAGAAGAGGAAAGAAAAAAAGGTGATTTAGGCTAATGGCCTGCCACTGCAAAGCTCTGAACAGTTTTCTTAAGCCTGGGAAGCAATGCAATTTCCAGACAGATTCCTCCACTTGCTGTTTTCCTGTAACACTTGAACGGACAAGTAATATGATGAGACAGAGTCAATATTGCCAATCGAGTAACAGCAAAAATTCTTGTCCTGTATACACACTTAAAAAATGGGGGTTTGATCAATGTTGTTCCTCCTTAATTTAATAGCAGCAGTAAAGCAGTAAGACTTAATGCAGAGCACACGCTTCATGTTCCTGCCACACACAGAGTGCTGCTGCAGAGGACTGTTGGCTGCGGCAACCCCATCCACTGGTGTTTCCCTGCATTTTCCTTCTTGCATGATGGAGAGAGGCCTATTAATTAGCAGAAGGACACTTAGCAAAGGCCAAGTAACCGCATAGAAGGAAAGGGGCGTGCGTTTGCTGGTTTGTTTGTTTGTTTTTCCTGGTAACTCCTCTCCTCCTTCCCTTCACAAATGGAACTAAGAGAGTTAGAAAAAAGCAGTCTAATCTGCTTTTTAAGGCTCAAGCTACTGAGTAAGGTTATGGTTGAAATGTTGCTCCACTTATAAGAAAAAACATTCTTTTCAGAAGAGATACTTCTTTACAACACCAAGTAGAACAAAAGAAATTAGCTCAACTATGAAGATTACCTAAAGAGTCTCTGCTTGGAGGCTGCCGCTAAAAATCTGTATGAGAGACACTTTTTATGAGGTGTAGGGCACAACTACTTCTTTTTGCTATCCGTTTGAACTGCACCTGTACACCTCAAAAAGATTTTTTTGTTTGTTTCACAGGAAACAAACTCTTTAAAAACCTCTCATGACTGTTTCATTTATGCATAAGAATACAGCCCTGTCGAGGCTCCCTCCCACCTGAGCGATTGCTGGGAACAGGAAGGACAGGACCATAGCTTGCCTATGGTAAGTTTTAAATAAAATGAAAGAAATTATTCTAGCTATTACACCGCCTCAATTTTCAAAACATAAATCCTGAAGGTTTGATGAAGACAGATGCTTTCTATTTGTGTATACTTTTATATACCATGCATTTTTCATTCCCATTTACTATCTACTTTGACACAGACGTTGACTTACATAGACAACAGAGCAACTTCTTCCTAAGTGCACTGTAGCTACAACTTATGGATCATTCAGAAAATACGAAGCTGATGTATATGATTAATTGGCCAGGTCTGGTGGCCTGTACGTGCACAAATACATCCCCCACTCCCAAACCTGCAGTGCTGCATCTCACACTCTTGCAGAAATAAAACTGATAGAAGAATCCCACTGCAGTTCTCTGCAAAGCCCCTGAGATGTTACATGGCTTCAAATGGCTAGGAAGCTCCAGATGGCAGAAACCACATGAAACTAATGCAGAAAAGAAAGCCTGGTTGGTTGGTTTCCCTGCATTACCCTGACTCTAGCAATAAAATCTTGCTAAAAGTAAACAGGTAGATGAGACCTTAGAAATGTGGCCATAGATTTAAAACTTTAAATAACTTCAGAAAGATCCATTTAGAAGACTATCAGGAGGTATCTAACCTATTATATTCTTTCCAAAATAGAGCTCTTATTAAATACATACATTGTACAGTGCCAGGACTCAGACTGTTAACAGAATTATACAGATGTATTTGAATGACTGATCTCTAAATTAGCTAATTGATTCTACTCTCTAATGCAATAATGATAAAACAAGCTGCCTTGTAACCTATATCTTGTAATATTATTTTCCTCTGACTATTTGAAACAATCACACTAGTTGGAGTCATGCAATACTTTCAAAAGACAAAACCAAAATGCTAAACTTTGAATCCATCCCTAACAATGAGCATACATCTGAATAAATTCTGGGACAGAACTCCCTTCAGCCTCCATGAGTCGAAGACTTTTAGAAATATACTCCAAAGAACATTGAAATGTCAGCCTAGGAGTCTTCATCTGTCACTGTGGTTTAACTGGGCCTTTCCATCTAACAGGCAACTCATTCAGTTTCCTTAAATTCACATTAAAAAAGCGATTTCTGCTACTGCAGTACTAAATTATATAAAAAAAATATCCTTTCCTCCTTACAATCCAATACAGCATGTATTTTAACAAGCAAGTGACTCAAACTTACATTTTTCTGAGGTTGGGCAATTTCTTGAAGAGTCCAATAGCTTCCAAAACAGAAATATCATTGTCATTCAAACGTCTGGTAGGAAGAAACAAACAGACATTTAATACTTCACAGATGACTCTGGATATACCTTTGTGACATATAGGGCTGCCACACAGAGAACTATGACCTTTGTTAAGCAAGACACTATCTGCTATCTCTCTCAGACTCCTAGAGTGAAAAGAGTTTTGCTTTGGAGGAAAGGGAACATAGAAGACTATATGTAGTAAAAGCTTAGGATGCCTTAAAAGGTGGAATTCCGAAGAACAGTGTCAGAATGATGCCTTCTTCCAATGCACAGGATAAGGGATTATTAACCGTAACCATTAAAAAGCCTTGTTTGCGTGACTAAACCTCCCTCATGCATTCTTCTACAGAAGACGTGCAATTGGTTTTGTTGTCCATGTAAACAGAAGGGATCTGATTTCAGATCCTTTCCCATCAAAGTTTATTGGTCTTCTGAACTAATGCAAAGGCCACCGTCTTGGCAGGATTGGGATGCAAAATTTTTTCTCTGGTTACATGTAGCTCCATTTTCCTATGGAGAGACTTTGTTGTGTTTCTGGATGTGTCTCATATTTTTCTATCTTCACTTCAGATCAATAATTTTATGGGGGTTTAAATAGAATACCTTAAGTACAATAAATAGAATACTAACACAAAAGATAATTGTGTTTGAAGGGGATACTAATATAACCCCCCCCCATTCTTAAGTAATAAACATGGTTTCTCGCACTCTCTTTAGCTGTATGTTTGTAACTCCTATGAATCTCTAAAAGCAAATACATTTCATAAAATCACTTATAGTTTAACAACACATTAGTTTTAGTGAGACCCATTTTACCCAACTAGCAGGCACCGCTGAGACGGAATGAGTTCCTGCTCACCAATTTAACTCAGAAGTGTTAATCCGTTTCTTAAATAAAAATGACCAGATGCAAAGACAAAGGACTCAAAGGTAGAATGGAAAGGAACCATCCAGCTTGGGGCATGTAACAGGTCAACACTTCAAGAAGACACACAGGCAGCTGACGCACAGGGCCGTGGCTCCTTTCTCATCCCCACAGTTGGTATGAATGCTAAGGAAGTACAAGAGTTGTGGTGCTCCTTTGAAATACAAATAACTTCCCCCTTTTCATACAGGGATTAAAGTAGAAGGTGCCTTGAATTGGTCTGAGTCCCTTTTACAGCCTTTAAAAACTAGGAAAATCAACATGCCCTGCTGAGCACATCTCGGAGAGCCGGCACTTACAGATCAGTAGTATATTCCGGAAGGTGACTGGGTAATCGTGTGAGTTTTTGGTTAGAGCAGTCTACAATTGTTCCCTCGCAGCGACACTTCTCAGGACAGACAAGGTCCATGAAACACTTGCCAGTGAATTTACTTCTGTAATCCTCTGACCCTGCAATAAAAGGAAAACATATTCAAGCAAACAGCTCCTGAAAACTGCAGCAGTCAGAGATTTTATGGAATCTATTCTCAAGGCTGCCTCCTGTCAGCTCCTGGCTCCGGCACACAAGTTTTAATACTTGACAAAATTTTTTATTCAGGAATTTTTCAAATTACTCCCAAGACTAGCCTCTGTTTTTTCACTCTTGCCTTGATAGATTAATTCCTTGTCTAACATGCCTACCTGTTAAGGTATTTTTTGAAGCATGTCTAATTAGCTGTTGGAGTCTGCTTCAAAGGAGCTCCAGCAAAGTCACTTTTTCCCATTTGGAACTTAGTCCAGCCACAAGGAAAAGGGATCTCATGAAAGCGGGAGCTATCTTGGTGCATTCAAATGACAAAGGATTTTTAAAGACATCATTAAAAAGCCCAAAATTTTCAGACCTCAGCTACTGGAGTTATTTTTGAGAGCAATCTTTTATGAGAGGGCCTTGTCAATTTTCCAACAACTAGATAACTTTATTAACTATGTTAAAAAAACAGCAGAGGAAAGTCATAGCAGCTTAAATCATTTTCATTTTAATTAAAGAACGGGTAGGCCATACTTAGTGAGAAGCACTCCCTAATGTACCATTATACCATGATTGCCAGACCTCTTTGACTAGGTTTTTGACCCGCTCTAATGAAATGCTTTTCCAATTAGGCTCAGCGAACTAACCTGTCCTTTTCAGGTTTGGTTTTTCTCTTTTCATAACAGCAGGTTGGAAACTTGATCTCCGTGCTTCAAGGAACCAGGAGCATTAATAAATGTGTACGGAGCAAGGTGTTGCCAAGACCCCGCCATGGAATACCTGCCCACTCACTTCATATTTCATAATGGAAGTACCAGAATCGTCTCAGGAATCTTGTGTAATGCCCAGTGATCATAAGTACCAAGAAGTACTTTTTAACTTTTCCAGAGCTTTAAAAGTCTCTTGCAAGGCTTTCTGAGGAGTGATCTGAGCAAGTTTTGAAGTTTTTAAGAACCTAAAAACATCAATAAAAACTTAAACTTGAGCTGAAATTTGTTTTTAGAGACTTGATGACATTCATCACCTGCTTCCACTTCCGAGACCGATAAATACACCACTGCTCATTTTAAGACTGCATACTATTTTTTGTAAGAAAAAAAGAAGTCGCCTAAACCCACTGTTTTCGTTTATATTACACATTACCTCCCCAGGTTGATGCAGTGAAAGAAAGAGATTCTGCAGGCAATCTAACATTTTGATTCCACAGATACACTTCCATTTAGTTTTGTAATTCCGAGCTAGATTATAAGAAACGTCACGTACAGCTTTGTACTTTACCACTTCTGTGGTGCTAAATACTTTGCAGGTTATCATGCTTATTGCAAAGTATACATCTAAAGCGAGACTTGGCTACCATTTTTTAGCTTGACAGCACAGCACTTGAAGTATTAGGACCACTGGGTGTTTTAAAGCATTATAAAAATACACTCTAAGCCTTTCTCCACACCACCATCATTTCAACTCTTATACTTTCAAAAGAACCCATCTGACTTCCAGTCCTAAAAATTCCAGGCTTGGTAGTCAGGCTAAAATGTCAAGTGATGAGAGTATTACAGCTTGATTGCAAGAACATACAGCTATTCTTTCTTAGGTCAATGAGACAGTACATTTGGTTGTTTATGATTCCACAGAAATAATGCCAAAGATGAACAGTTATCAGGACCAGAGTTTATTAAAACTGCTACAATTACAGTATGCCTTGAAAAACACACAAGATTTTTCAGTGATCAGAAAGTGTCTTGGAAATCCCCAAATTCACCCTTGAAGAAGCACTTCTAATTTTCATTGTAAAAACTTTTTTTGAAAGAACAATCACAAACGTCATGAAGTTATGCAGGGTAAAAATTCATTAAGTGTAATTTTTAGTTTACTGGTGGATACAAGATTCATCTTCCTATGAGAAAAAAGAAGGATGGGAAAGCAAGTGGAATGCTTTATGAAGAAGAATAAGGAGTACATAACATCAGAGGGTGAAAATCCATTTTTGGTTTTCTCTCAAGCCTTCTGGCAAAGTAAATAAAGAGTATTTACCACATTTTAACTTAGCAGTCTCGCTCTTTTGATGGCATACAACTTTGCACATTGCATCAGCTATAAGAAGTTGATCTTGCCTGGGCATCAGTCCACTGCCTCTACTCTTGCAACAGGGGAAAGCCCTCTCAGCTCAGCAGGAGAGGAAGGGAGCAAACATCACCTTCGTACTTTTTTTCTTTGTGGTTTTTTTTTTTTCCCTCCTTTTTTTTTTCTTCTTCTAAATGAGTTTAAATAAGAGTTACCCAGGTGAGCGCTGAGTCAAAAGTAATCAATAGCACGTATATGCTCAGCAAGTACTCAGTCATCTGTTAGACCATGAGACAGCATGAATCGCCTGCCAAAGACTAGATAAAATTTACTATTTGACCTGAGCCTTGAGATCACTTGGACAGGTGGCTGCTCTATTAAGATATTCCCATCGGGGATACTAATGTGAAGTTCAGCCATCTGCTTGCAGAACTATTTAAGAGCGTACATCCGTTTGTACGCGCGGGGCTTTATCGGCGTACTACTGCAGGGTTCGAGCAAACATGACAGGATTCAGGAAGTACAATTAACCATCACATGTGTGCATCACTTCTCGCACGCTGTAAAGTCACCTGTGGAAAGCCATGGAAAAGAGATGCAGGACAGGCACAGGAGAAACACTTGGCTTCATTTTACTATTCTAGACCAAGCATTTGGTCATTTTATTATACTTGAAAGCATGTGTGCACTGTAGCTGAGAACTCTGTGAAGCTTGGCTGAATGTAAAATGTGACCTGTGAGTTTCTAATGATTTCCAAAGTTTCAAAGAATGAAGTTTGCTGTCAAATAAAAAGCCAGGGCAACAGCAAGGCCTGTGTTTGAGGGCAACTGGGTTTATCTGAATTGCTAGTTACTCTGATAACATTTTCATTTCACAACCTATGTGACACCACTATCAGGTACCACGGCATTGCAATTCCTCAGTATCATAAAACAAACACACATGCCATTCTACAGAACAGCAGTATGGAGATAAAGAAACACCACGTTTCCAAGTGCTCAAAAATTTTAGGTGCCTTTCTAATACCCACATGAAGAAATTAAGCAACAGAGACAAATGCTTTTTTGTCCTATTCTTCTTTTTAAGCATTGTTTAGCAAACCTGATTTCAGATTTTAAAACTTAGCTTTGCCCAAAGGACTTAAAAGGAGTGCTGGAGGATCTGTTCCGGAACAAATCAAGTTGTCTCAACAGGGGCTTGGATACCTGACCTGATATATTCATTCTAGAAAAGATGGATCCAGCTGCCTCAAACTTGGCACCAAAAATACAATCACAGAGATCACTTGGTCTAAAACTTGGACAAAAAGCAGGAATACCAACACTCACTTCTCCATGTAAACACTAGATCCCAATTCTCATAGGTTTTCAGGAAAAAAAGGAGGTACATTGCCTGCCATAATTTCACATCAGTAGTATTAATTCTTATCAGTAATTACAGAGAAAATCTAAGAATCTCAGATGTCCTTCTTCTGATGGCTCCACAACAGATACCTAACAAATTTGCAAAATGAGGCAGTACTTCCTCATATATAAGAAAACTTCTGCATGAGACTCCTAAAGTCCTTTATGAATAGGTGTAATTATCTCTACTTTACATAGTGGGGAAGTTCGGCAGAAGTATGTTGAAGAACTTAATCTAAGCTGTCAAAACTAAAAACCACCCCATTTGTATGGTATGCTGACTCAGCTTTGCGCTATGTAACTATTGGATAATACTGTTTTCATACAGGCCACGTTACCCATGTCACCTCAAGAGATAAAATATAATGCTTTGCAGACTCTTCTGAAGTTCTTTTGCCGTATAGTTCTTCATAATGCAATTAAGATTGTTCAGATCAGGTCCAAAGTTATGTTAGGTAGCAGGCATCTTGTTGCAAAAACTGCATCCAAAGTGTACCTCAGGTAGAAGGGCTCACTGGACAGCTCAAATGGAGAGATATAGCTTACATTATTTCTAAGGTGAGATGACAAAAATGATTTTTCATTTCTGTAGGTATGGCTGGAACCACCCTTGGATCATATTAATCAACAGGATGACTAACTTCTTCATTCTAAGAGCAATTAAACAGATTAATTACTTAGAAATGGTTATTCTGCATGCAAGCCTTCTGGAAAGTCTGTCACGAACAACACCAGGGCTCCCTGCTGCAGCGCCCGGGAGTCTGGTTAAGCAACACCTCACCTTTTTCATGTTTCCTGTGAGAAAAGGGGAATCTCTCACCTTTTGATGCTTCTGAAAACAGCAGAAGTATCCCAGCATGCCATGCGGCAGGGAGTATGCAGCCTTCCATGGTGCTTGACAGAACCATGTTCAATTTGTATTGTTCTACCACATGGTTAGATCAAGCACAAAGGAAAACCCCACGGACAGCCAGAGTCAGAGTTAGGCAGCGCCAAAGAGAGAAGAGCGTTGAGAGAAGCAGCATGGAGAAGCACAAGCTGAAGGTTCACGGAGAGCTGCTCTCCACTCCACCCATGCAAAAAGGTGCTGGATACAAGAGGTCATCCTTTACGCTACAACTGCAGGAACGCCCTGGAGCACAATTGGGGTTAGTGTACGAGAACAGAGCCCAGGCGCATTCAGAGACAGAACTGATATGACAGAAAATACTACCGAAGCGCTGCGAACAGCTCCTTCCCGGAAGGACGGGCAACTTCCACCGCATATTGAATGCCCAGTCTACACTGCCTTTTATTAGCTACTTACTCTCTGCTGATGTCTCCTTTCAGCATACATGCCATTTTGGTTTGCTCCATTTATTTAAATGCAATTGTAGAAATACCGCAGCTCGTATTAATAAAAGTAGATCCTGAGCAGATGGCCAAGCTCTGGCATTAAATGCTCCCCAAGCTCCCTTTGAGTCCTGTTTCAGCTCCC